TCTCCAGTATGAAAAGCAAAACAAGCAAACAAACAAAACCCCAAAGTGTGTAGTTCAATCTTCATGAATTCATATAGTTTCCCATAGGGTTTTGGTGTTAATTTCCAATTTTGTTGATCTGATAAGATACAAGGAATTATAACAGTTATTTTGTATTTGTGAAGCGTTGCCTTGTGGTCTAAAATATCTTGGAGAAGGTTCCCAGAGAGATGAAGAGGTGAGAAGAAAGTGTATTCTGCTGTTGTTGGATGAACTCTTCTGTCTCCCTGCTTCACTCTCATTCTGCTAGGTACACCCTGGGCCCCACGGGGATGGGGGGCACTGCTGGGGCCCTGGTGGAGCACTGTGGGGCACTGTGGGGCACTGTGGGGCTGTTTGCTCTGATCTCCAGGGTTCCCACAGCAGCAGCTGCAGCATGGCCACCTCAGGATGGCCCAGCCTCAGCTCTCCACAGCAGCTGAGCAACTCTGCAGTGTTCAGACACCAGCTTGAGGTGCAGCCTCTGGTTCAGCTAAGTGCCTGCTGCTTTTCTGATCTGGGGTTCCCCTGCCGACTCTGATCCCTGTGTTTCTCTCTCTGTTCTCCCTCCCCTCCCTGGTGACCCAGTGCCACCACAGCTGCCCTGCCACTGCCACAACCAGCCTGGCTCCAGTGAACCTTCTTCTTTGTTCAACGCACCTGAATTTCTGACTCTCCAAGACATTCTGACTGTCCAGGATTAAATTTTAGTGAAACCCCTCCTTCACCCACCTCACTGAGAAGCTGCACTCTGCTGCTTGAATACCCAGTCACTGAGCAACTAGGAATGCGGCTTTCTCTACTCTGCCATCTTGAATCTCTCAAAAGGCACTTTGGGAAAAACAAGTTAACATTTTTACATTTCTAACCTATTTGGAAGTCCCGTGGTGTGAGAAAATGAATGCAATTTAATCATTTTCTGCAAGATTATATAGGTACCCCAGTGTTGCTTATAAAATTGTTTATCTTGAAAAGAGATGCTGCCTTATGGAATATACATGTAGCTTAGTATGGTTAGATCAATATAAAAGAAAACCAGTCAGACAATTTTCTCTGAATTTTCTCTGTGGCTCTTCTTGCCCGAGCGTCCTCCTGCTGGAATTAGAGACTGGAATCATTTTCTGTCAGATAGACGTACTTTTCTTTTCTGATGTTCAGGATAACTCACTTTTCTTCATCCAAATGAACTTTATAATGAATTTTTTAACCTCCAGAAGAAAAAAATGATAATAAAATTTTTGAAATTTGTATGTATGTTAAATCATATTAAAAGAAGTGCCTATTAATTGCAAATTTACTATTAGGTAAAATGCTTTAAACATGAATCAATGTGAAATTTGGTCAAATATCTTTTCTGCATCTAGGTAATTTTCTTCTGAATCTATTTATGGGATGTATTATAACAGTCAATTGTCTTATAAGTAACCATTCTAGTATTTTTGCACTGAATCACAATCATAGTATATTATTTTTTGGCATCTAATAACTCATTTAGGAGTTTTACATCAGTATTAAATGAGATACAACTGTAGCCTTCTTTATTGGTAAAAATCTTTACCAGCTCTTAGAATCAATAGTATCCTTGCCTCATGGAAAGAATTAAATTTTTTCTTTCTTTGTATTTTTGATTAACATGAAATAATGGTATACATTTTGGGGTTCCGCGTGATATTGCAACACATGTATACAATGTGTGCTTATCAAATCCTTATCATTTCCTTTTGCTCTGCCACTGAGCTACACCACCAACTCCTTTTTGTTTTATTTTATTATTTATTTTTCATGGTAGTGGAGATAGAGCCCAGGGCCTTCCTCATGTTAGGTAAGCTTTCTACCACTGAGCTTCATCCCCAGCCACCTCCTACCAGTTTTTAGTGTTTTGTTTTTAAATTCAGGGGCTCCCTAAGTTGTCCAGACTGGGCTTGAACCCGCAATCCTGCCTCAGCCTGCCTGGGAGCTTGGATCACAGGCTTGAGCACCATTGTGCCTGGCTTCCTTGTCATTTCTTGGAGCCTTGGAACTCCTCTCTTCTATTTCCTCTTAAAATGTATAAGAGGTTTGGGGAGCGACAGTCATCCCACTGTGCTGCAGAATACTAGAACTCATTCCTCCTGTCCACCTCGGTGGCCCCACTCTGTATCCTCTCTTTATGCTCTGTGCCCCCAACCTCCCCAGCCTTAGGGATCACTAGTCCACATTCAGGCTGACTGTTAACTTCTCACCTATGAGAGAGGACATGCAGCACTTATCTTTCTGGGTCTGACTTATTTCACTTAACAACGTCCTCCAGGTCTATCCATTTTCATGCAAATGTCAGGTTTCCCCCTTTTATGACTGAGTAATATTTCATTGTACATCTATACCACATTCTCTTCATTCATTTATCCATTCATAGGGACCTCGGTGTTTTCCTTATTGTCTTTCTCCCTTTTTTTCTTTCTTTCTCCCTCCCTTCCTCCCTCTCCCTACCCCACCCCTCTTCCTTCCTTCCTTCCTTCCTTCCTTCCTTCCTTCCTTCCTTCCTTCCTTCCTTCCTTCCTTTCTCTCCTCATACTAGTGGTTGAACCCAGCATTGCTTAAACACTGAGCCACATTCCCAGCCCTTTTTTATTGTTTTATTTTAAGACAGGGTCTTGCTAAGTTGCTTAGGGCCTCACTAAATTGCTGAGGCTGACTTTGAACTTGTGATCCTCCTGCCTCAGTCTCCCGAGCTGCTGGGATTACAGGTGTGCACCACCACACCTGGCTACGTTGGGTTTTTAATCCTGGCTATTGTGACCTGTGGTGCAAGAAACATGATAGTGCTGGAATTTCTTTTGTATACTGATTTTATGTTATTTAGATACATACCCAGAAATACAACATCTGGATCATATGGTGGACTATTCTAGTTTTATGAGGACCCTCCTACTCTTCTCCATAATGGCTGTATTAATTTACATTTCCACCAACAGCGTGTGAAAGTTCCTTTTTCTCCACATCCTTACCAACACTTGTTCTTTTTGTCTAATTGATAGTAGTCACTGTAACTGGAGGGAAATGATTTTGCATTGTGGTTTTTGTTTGCATTTCCCTGGTGAATAAGGATATTGAGCATTTTTTCATCTATTTGTTCGTCATTTGTATTTCTTTTTTTATATAAGTCTAGTCAGATCATTTGCCCATTTAAAATCAGATTGTTCCTTTGTTATTTTAGTTCCTTACATATTGTTTTTTATTTATTGATGTGCTGTATTACATTTATTCATTTCTGTATGTTGAGTAATTCTTGAATCCTGGGATAAATTCCACTTGATCATGGTGAATCACCTCTGTTGCCTCTTTATCGTTGTCTTCTTTATTTTGCCTGATATAAAATTAGCTTCTACTATTCATTTTTGGTTCTTGTTTGCATGGGAATATATTTTTCTATCTATCCCGTTTAGTCTGTGTGTCTTTACTGGTGGAAAGGGTTTCTTACAGGCAGCATATATCTGGTTGTTGATTCTGTACCCCTTTATGAAGCTAGTGTCTTTTACTTGAGGAGTTTACTCTGTTTACACTCAAGGTCATTACTGACAGGTAAGGGCTTAATGGTTTTGAATACACTTTGTTCTGTTCTTGCCCTTTACTCAACTTGGTGGCTTGGTGGTCTGTTTTATTGATAACTTCTGGTTCTTTTCTCTTCCCCTTCTGACATCTGCTCTTTCAGTGGTTTTAATACTTCTGTAGGAACTAACTAATGCTGTTAGTTCCTTTTCTTTTGCTTCTAGACACAGGATTCCCTTCAGCTTCTTTTATAAAACTGGTCTCGTGGTGTTGAATTCCTTCAGTTTTGCTTGTCTTGAAACATCTTTGTTGCTCCTTCATTTCCCAAACCTAGATTTTCTGGGTATAGTGCTTTTTGTTGACAGTGATTTTCTTTCAGAAGTTGGAATATGTCATTTTATTTCCCTCTGAGCCTGTAAGGTGAACTTGCTGTTTCCTCTTGCAGCTTTTAGAATTCTTTCTTTGTCTTGTACTTTTGACGGGCTGACTATGACTGTGTGCCATATTGAGAATCTTTTCTGGTCATGTCTATTTGGAGTCCTATGGGTTTTTGGTACATGGATGTCCATATCTTTCACAAGATGAGGGAACGTTACAACTATTATTTCATTGAATAGATTTTCTATGCCTTTCTCCTTTTCTTCCCATTTAGGAACTCTCAACATGTGACGATTTGCTTAATGGTGTCCCAAGGCTTGGAGGATGTATTCATTATTTATGATTTTTCTTTCTTTTTTGTCTGGTTGGGCTATTTCAAAATACCTGATTTCAAGTTTAGACATTTTTTATTTATGATTTCTTTTGAGACATGTCTCATTTAATCGCCAGAGCTGGTCTTGAACTTGTGATCCTCCTGCCTCGGACTCCTGAGTAGTTGGGATTACATAAATTCTCCTGATTGACGTAGTGTGTTGCTGAGGCTTTCAGTTGTATTTTGCAACTTGCTGAGCTCTTCATTTCCAATATTTCTGCTTGGTTCTTTTTCAAGATTCCCATCTCTTTGCTAAATTCCTTAAATTTACTGAACTGACTGTAGGTATTCTCCTGTATCTCATTGAATTTCATCATAACCATTCTTTTCATATTCTTTTTTTTTTTTTTTTTTGGTACCAGGGATTGAACTCAGGAGTGCTGGACCACTGAGCCACATCCCCAGCCCTATTTTGTATTTTATTTAGAGACTGGATCTCACTGAGTTGCTTAGCACCCCGCCATTGCTGAGGCTGGCTTTGAACTCGCAATTCTCTGGTCTCAGTCTCCCGAGCAGCTGGGATTACTGAGGTGCGCAAGCGAACCCAGCTCTTTCAAATTCTTTATCAGGCATTTCATCAATATCATTCCGTGGGGTCTCTGACTGAAGAGTCAATGTGTTCCTGGGAGGGAATCATGTTACTTGGGAATCGTCCCCATAGAGCTAAACTGGCGTTTTCCTCTCCTTTCACTCTTTCAGCTCTGTGTGTGCCCAAGCTCCAGGGCCTCTCTCCAGGAAGATGGCTGACCACCAAAATGACACTCTGAGAATTGTTCTGGTCGGGAAAACTGGAAGTGGGAAAAGTGCCTCGGCAAACACCATCCTTGGGGAAGAGAAGTTTGAATCTAAGATTTCTGCCCAAGCTGTGACCAAGACCTGTCAAAGAGCAACCCGAGCATGGAAGGGAGGACAGCTTCTTGTTGTGGATACTCCAGGGCTCTTTGACACCAAGGAGAGTCTGAAGACCACGTGTGAAGAGATCAGTCGATGTGTCCTTTACTCCTGCCCAGGACCTCACGCCATCATCATGGTCATGCAGCTGGGCCGCTACACAGTGGAAGAGCAGAACACTGTTGCATTGATCAAGACAGTCTTTGGGACGGAAGTCACAAAGAACATGATAGTCTTGTTCACTCGCCAGGAAGAGTTGGAGGATGACAGCCTCGATAGATTCCTGAAAAATGCGGATGCGAACCTAAAAAGCATCATCAAGGAGTGCGGGAACCGCTGTTTTGCCATTAGCAACAAAGTAGACAAGGTGGAGAAGGAAGTTCAAGTGCGGATGCTGGTGGAGCTGATAGATAAGATGGTGGAGAACAATGGAAGGGCTTACTTTTCTGACCGCGTATACGAGAACATAGAGGAAAAGCTGCAAAAGCGTGGAGAGATTCTGAAGAAAATTTATGCTGAAGAACGAGATAATGAAATCCGACTAATAGAACAGGAATGTGCTACTAAGCTAGAGGAAGAAAAGGAGGAACAAATAAAATTAGCAAAGAGGAGATATGAAGAAAAAATTAGAAAAATAAGGGCAGAAGCTGAGAAGAATATATTCAAAGATGTGTTAGATGTGATTTGGAAGACAATTTCAAGAGTATGGCATACGTTTTGGAAGTAATGTAATTTTCATTCTTTCCCTTTAATTTAGTACCATTTGTTACTGTAGTGAATTACTGTATGTTTCCAAAGTTGACTACGACAATATTTCCCATCTCCTGATTTATGGAGATATAGTTGACAAATAAAAATTGCATATATTTACTGTGTACAGTGTGATGTTTTGACATATGTATACCTTGTGAAATTATTGATGCAAGGTAGTTAATACACCTGTCACCTCATGTAGGTCTTCTTTTTAGTGAAAACAATCTAAAGTCTATTTTCTTAGCAAATTAAAAAAAAAACACCAAGATTGCATCATAACTATAGTAACTGTGTTGTACTTTAGATCTCCTGAACTGATTCCTCCTGCATAATTGAACATGTGTGCTTTTTGATGAACATCTCCCCATTTCCACAAATCTCTAGTCCCTGGAAACTAACATTGTGCTCTTGGCCTCTATGATTTTGACTTTTCAGATGCCACGTATATGTGAGACCATGCAGTGTTTGTGTTTAACTCAATTCACTTGGCATAATGTCCTCTAGTTTATCCATATTGCTGCAAATGACAGGATATCTGCAACAGTTGATTTGAATTGTCAACTTGATTGGATTAATAGATGTGGAAGATTAAGAGGCTTCTGTGTGTGTCAAATGAGGGTGTGTCTAGGAATGATTGGCATGTGGCATAGCAAACTAAAGAGGAGACCCTCCTTCAGATGGGCAGCATCATTCAATAGGCTGGAGACTTGGGTGGAATAAAGGTTGGAAGAATATGGAAGCAGCAGCAGATGCAAGCTCTGTTCTTCTTATGTTCTTCTAGGTTCTCGATTGCTGCTGCGATCATCTGAGGATATCAGAGTCTTGCTCCTTCACTCTTCCAAAGTGGACTCTGCCACTGATTCTCCAGAAGCCTTTGGTCTTGGACTGGGGTAGCATTGTTGACACCTTTGTTGTGAGGCTTTAGATTGCGCAGCTACTGGTTCCTCTAGCTTGCCAGCCTGCAGATGGCCATTGTGAACTATCCAGCTTCTAGTTGTATAAGCCTATCTAATAAATCCATTTTTTATGATCATACCTCCTGTTAGTTCTCTTCCTTTAGGAACACTGAGTTAAAAAAAAAATATCCTTTTAGGGCTGAGGATGTGGCTCAAGCGGTAGCGCACTCACCTGGCATGTGTGCGGGTTCGATCCTCAGCATCACATACAAACAAAGATGTTGGGTCTGCCGAAAACTAAAATAAATAAATAAATATTAAAACTTCTCTCTTTCTCTACCTCCTCTCTCTATCTTTTAAAAAAAATATCCTTTTAAAATTCTAAATAATATTGTATGGAAGTGTGCACAGACACATATGCATGCCACATCATCCTTTCCATTCATTTGAATGCATGCACTTGTCTGGTCTAAATGCTGCAATGAACTTGGGAGTGCAGATGTGTCTTCAATGCCTAGTATGTTTCTTCTGACTGTTGTCTCAGTCCATTTGGGCTGCTTTGACAACATTCCATGAATGATGCAGCTTATAAACAACAGAGTTATTTCTCACAAACGTCAAGGGTGGGAAGTGTGAGATCCAGGCACTGGAACATTCAGATCTGGTGAGGTCCTGCTTCCTCCTAGACATCCACCTCACTAGCCTCACTCGGAAGAAGGAACACAGAATCCCTCGTAAATCTTTTTTTTTAATATTTTTATTTTATTTTTTTAAACATCTTTAATTTACTTTATGTGGTGCTGAGGATCGAACCCAGCGCCCTGCGCATGCCAGGCGAGCGCACTACCACTTAAGCCACATCCCCAGCCCCCTCGTAACTCTTTTTTAAGGGAACCAATCTCATTCATTAGTGCTCTGCCTCCAGGACCTGATCACCTCCCTGAGAACCAACCTCCTCCTTGGGAGGGAGAATTTCAACATATGAATTTGGAGGGGATGTAAACATTCAACCATAGTGCAGGTCCTGGCTTCCCAAATACATGTCCTTTCACAACACAACATCGATTCCATTCCAATAGCCTCACCCCAAAGTTTTAGCTTGTTTCAGCATCAATTTTAAAAACTAAACGCAAAGTGTTAGGTAATTCTTATGTAAATCAGATCTGGGTGTGAGAAGTTACAATTAATTCTGAGGTAAACTGCTTTCCAGTTGTGAACTTGTGAAATCATATATGTCACGCACATCCAAAATATAACGGTGGGCAGGCATGGGATAGACATTCCCATTCTGGAAAAAAGGAAAAGTGTAATCGTTTTCAAGCAAGTACAAAATCTTAAATCCCAAGAATTATTTCCCCTGATTTGATACCTTGCCCCTCAAGCCCACTGACATGGAGGATTGTTTGATTGTTTTTTGGTTTTTTTGCAGTACCGGGATGGAACCCAGGGCCTCACGCAGGCCAGACAAGTGCTCACGACTGAGCCACCTTCCCCCCAGGGTCCTGTCTTTTGGACCCTTAATATCAGCAGCCCTGCCTCTGAAGATTTGCCACTGCCCAGCTTTGGAAAGCCTCACCCCTACAGAGATTTTTGTCAGTACTTTCCGCTGGGGCAGCACACACCATGCTGTAGCGTAATGGGGCTGCACATGGGGCAGCCCAGAGCACAGCTGTGGCTCATGAGGAGCACAGCCTTCAATATGAGGCCTCTCTGGGCATTCATGTCTCCTGTTTTGTAGCATCTAGGTTTGGAAGGCACAGGCAGCCCTACCCTGTGGACTTACAGCATCTATGAAGGTTTTCAGTGCCTCACCATTTAGGGGAAGACAAATAATGACAAAAGCCAGTTCAAACGATGTAAAGCATAAAATTAAATATTCCTGCTATGATGTCTACAATGTTAATTGTCACAATAAACAGAAATGATATGATTGGTTATTGCCTACAATAAAAACAGAAGCTTTGAGAAGAGTTTACAATTTTGAAGAGTGAACAAAAAGAGAACGGAAGTGATATAGGATGTGAGGATAATGGGAGAAGAGAGATGTTAGAAGTAAAAAATTAAAGGAAGAGTGAAAGAGAGAACAAAAGTGATTAATAATTAGCAGAAGCGAAGAGAGAAAGAGAATTGAGGGAAACCAGTGAGAGAAAAAAATAGAGAGAGAGTAATTTTTTTTTAAAGAGAGAGTATTTTTTATTATTTATTTATTTATTTATTTTTTAGTTTTCAGTGGACACAACATCTTTGTTGGTATGTGGTGCTGAGGATCGAACCCAGGTCGCAGGCATGCCAGGCAAGCGCACTACTGCTTGAGCCACATCCCCAGCCCCATAAAGTAAAATTTTTAAAGTGTAAAAATCAAAGAGTATAAAACAAAACTGAAATATGTTAATCAAACATCCTAGTCATCAAAAAACTGATCCATGAAAAATAACTGGCTTCAAAAATGCTACAAATTGGGGAAAAAAATAAATATGAGTATGTGGGAGGCCATCCTCGCACGTGATTTGAGTTACTTCCCTGGCTGGGTGAGAGGCGCTTAGACACATCTTTGTGTCCAGAGCTTTCCCCACCCTTCTCAGGTCCATGTGTAGGCGTGTCTGGCCACTGCCCAAGACCCAATTGTTGCACCTGTCCTTGGGACACTGCCCCCTTAATCCCCATTGGAGGGTTTTTTTCCCCAGAATTATTTTTTGTTCTTCAATAAAAGTCCATTCCCTGCATGTTCTCTCTCCCTCCCTCCCTCCCTCCCTCTCTCTCTCTCTCTCTCTCTCTCCTCTTCAGTAAACCTCATACCATAATAGGTAGCGGGAGGCTGGAGCTAGGTTGAAAGGTCATTAGAGCCTGTCTAAACCTGGGGCTGGTTTAAAGGTCAGTAGAGCCTGTCTCTTTAATTCAAACTCCTTGAGGATTTCTCACATGGCAGAACCTTCATTTATGAAGCCTGTGCTGGCCTCGGGCTAAATGAGTATGTATGAGTATGCATAAATGTACTCAAAACATTAAGGTCATGATTAAACACAGAAAAGAAAAAGAGAGAGGGAAAGAGAGAGGGAGAACGAGAGAGAATGAATATCTGGATAAAAAGTTAAAGAATCATTTCCATTGGAGTTAAAAGTTAAAACAGCTTCTCAGCAGTTTAGGTAGGGTCATCTGGAGATTCATGCTCCACTCTCTGGATTGTGGAGGGAGAGAGGCAATTCCCAAGATGGAAATCCTGAGACAGGGTTTAGGCTTCAGTGGGCTCCAGGCTCTTTGCTGGATGCCAGTTCACCTGGGGATTTAGATCAGCACCCCTCCAGGCCCAGAAATTGCCAGTCACTGCTGGAAGACAGTACCCCAGAGGTCTCCCCTGGGTTCCACTCATGGTGAGGAGCCGATACTTTGTCCACTCTGCAAACCTTACATTCCCTGGTCTGGGATTCAATCTCCAACCCCTCCCCTTTTGAACGCCCAGCTGCAGGGAGCCACACTGAGTCACCAGGCCTTCCAGTCCTGATGCACCACCGGGATCTGAAAGATCACTGTAGTCTGGTGACTCATGACTCGGTACCCCCCACCCCTGCTCAGATAGCAAGGCCGGTCTTCTGAGCAGGCATACCCCTGGGGTCGAGCTACACTCACCTGTTCCTTTGTGATATTACCCCTTTGCCCTGTTTGGGATAGAATGTTCCATGGAAATGCCCTTTGTGTGTCCCCTTCTCTTGCTCTGCCTTTGGGTGTGGCCTTCCTAGATGTCAGTCAACCTGCTGACAGTGGACATCATGAAGCTAGACTCAGCCCCTTGAAACCTGACCCCTTGCCTCATTTGAATGGCTTCTCCTCAATAAAAGGGTTCAGCATGTGCTCTCTGGTGCTTTTTCACAGACCCCTGGGGTCAGGCTCAGCCAGACACATCTCTCCCAGCCAGTCCTCCAAGCAGCCAGATTAGAGGGGGAGGGGGAGAGCCAGGTGGTTTCCACAGCCAGCTTTTCCCTCTGTCAACGTCTCTCGGTGTTTGATGTTCTCCTGGTCTTTTGGGTACACTCTAGGTCATGTGGTGTGGGTTTGCCAGGCCTGTATTTTGGGCCAACTCTGGTTTGCCAGGAATCGGCTCCCTCCACTGCCAGCCCTGGGCCACAGCCGCAAAACGGTTCCTCCCTTTGTCTTTCTTAAACTGCCTGAAGAGATGGAGCTCCTTCCCCGCACAAGGAGATCCTGCAGTGGCCTTTCAGTTTAGTCCGGAAGTGTCTTTGATCTCTAAACTCTAGACACAGACATGCCTCACACCTA